TACCAGAGCACAAACCAGGACAAAGGCTTTGTGGTGCGAGACTCAGGACCACGCTGGCCAGCACAGGCAACTGAGGAGTCCATACAATCACCACTCTCCCGTGGCATTTCTCATACTCCGAGCTTTCTGCACGCTTATCCTCAGTGGGTGATAGGCTTGGTTGAGTGTCTATGTTCACGCTGTCACTTGTCTCTTTGTTAGATGAATTATCCACAGTTAAACCTAATCTCCCTAATGGAGGGAGGAAGGACTCAGGAAATGTTCTCCTCCTCCTTCCTGAGAAGCCAGCACTTCAGACATGATGGCTACCACATTGTACTGGGTCATTAGGAAAGTCATGACGCATTGTTGCATAGAAAAACAGAAAAATATGTCATGACGTTCTCGATGACCTAATAGCGTATTTCTGGTCAAGAACTTCCTCACAAGAGAATAGCTCACTATGAGGTGGGTAGAACTTTAGTTATTCCTGTGGGGTTAGGAGAGAGTTGATGCTCAGCTTCCCATCCCAGAGCAGGATAGCGGTACAGTCAGAAGGAGAGCTCATCCCAGAGCAGGGTAGTGGTACAGTAAGGAGAGCCCATCCCAGAGCAGGACAGTGGTACGGTCAGAAGGAGAGCCCATCCCAGAGCAGGACAGTGGTACGGTCAGAAGGAGAGCCCATCCCAGAGCAGGATAGCAGTACAGTCAAAAGGAGAGCTCAAGACTTTGGGGACATGTGGTCCATTCTCCAACTCCTCTCTTTCCCTCTTCTTCTTTTCTTAATTCTCTATAGGGTGCATGCTGTCGCCACAGAGAGACAGAGAGAGAGGGGAAGTGAGAAATCCTCCCTCCCCCCTGGGGGATTGCAATTTCTTCTCCTCCCAAGTCTCCTCTTGGGATTTTGGGAGTACACACATGCGCCTAGCATGTCTCTCAAGCCACTGAGTCTGGGACAGTCTTTCACATAGGATCTGGCTGTGTTAACCACTGTACCACCAGCTGGCCCCACACTATTCTAGTTAGACAAAATTAGTGTTTTTGCTTGAAAGTTAATTTTCTGGGTTTTTTAAAAGAATTATTTATTTTTACTTATTCATTCATTTATTTTAATTTGACCAGAGACAAACACACAGAGGAAGAGAGAGGGAAACTGAGAAAGCAAGTCACCCAGTTCAGGACTTGAACCGTGGTTGGCCATGTGGGAGTACCCAGCGCCTTAATCACCATGCCACCTGCTGGCCCTTTGAAAGTTAATTTTCTTACTGCCATCTTTAAAAAATCAAATGTCATCCTCTGTCTTATTCCATTCTCTTTCTGTAGAATAATGTTGGTCTTGCTACAAACAGAAACAGTGTTTACCACCCTTCCAGTTTTATTAGTTACCTTGGAGACCCCTTAGAAATGATTCTAGAAAGAAAAATCTTCCAAATCCTCTTCCTGATAAAAAGGCCATTAAGTTTATGATGGCCCATTACAACAAGAGCATTGAGGATTATAACTTCTTATGCTTTGAAATTTTGCAAGAGGGAGAAATGATGTCTGTATATTATTGACAGCATACAGTCATTACTAGAGAGTTTGAATATTTTTAGATATGTTTATTAACCATTTGAATTTGTTTTCTTGTGCATTTCCTATTCAAGCTCCTTGTTTTTCTATGTGGCTCTGGTTGTTTTCCTTATAAATTTATTTGGGCTCTTTGGGTAGTAAGAATGTCAATACCTCAAAAGTTATAATTAGGACAGAAATTTTCTCACTTTGACCTTTCCTTTTTGTTTATGATCCTTCTGATGTACAGAGGATTTGAGTTCTATGTGGCCAAATTATACCTTTGCTGTGAGATATCTTGTACTGCTTTTATATTGGAAAGCCCTTTCCCAAACAAACATTAAAGTCATGTTCATTTAGCTCCTACTCTACCTTTTTTTTCCATAGGGCATGTGTACTTGTTAGAGACAGACAGAAAGAAGGAGAGTGAGAAATCATCCCCTGGGGGAATGGCCGTGCTGCAATCCCTTCTCTATTTTCCTCTTGGGACTTTGGGCACGCATGCACACGCACCTGGTGTGAATTTCCAACCGCTAGGTCTGGGACTTGAATCACAGTCAACCCTGTGAGAATCCAGTGCCCTACCATCACACCGCCTGTGGACCCCAAAGGAAGTTTTGAGTGGAAGAAAAAAAAAAGGAATTGGGGCTTTGGAGAGACTAGAGTTCTCATTTATAGAGCAAAGACGCCAGATTAAAATGATTAATATTCCTTTTATCGCATAAAATAAACCCAGAAATGCTTTCAAAGTCTCAAATCTTCCACTACCAAAGATTTTTTCCCCCTTTGGTTTCCTAGTGGTTGACTGTTAGCAAATTTATTATTAATGACAACTAGTACATTGTAACTTGCACACCAATTTATTTAAAACGAACATGCAGGCTGACGTGCACTCTGTAAGAATTTGGTTAACAGAAGCACATCTGCAGGGGCTGTCTCTGCTAATGTGATACTTTCAAAGCAATGCTAAAAAACCAGTGACAGCTGAAATCAATTCTCTCCTCTCAAGTGCCAAAGAGGAGAGATACATATTGCAATATCTATGAATATGTGCTCTAAAACAGTTTCCAAAAACCACTTTCTAAAGCTTAACTAACAATAATGTCCAGAGAGGTAAGTGTAGCTAATTTAATGCTCTAATTGATCATTTCCTTGAAAAGTTTATTTCACTTTAATCCTGACAGAGAATCTTCACATTTGACTTTTTAATTTTTTTTTTTTAAATTTTAGGTTTTTGCCATAGGGCACATGTGGTCACTGGAGACAGGGAGAGGGAAAATGAGAAATCAACCCCCAGGAGTTTGGCCATGCTGCAATCCCTTCTCCTCCATCTTCCTCTTGGGATTTTGGGCATGCTTGCACATGCACTTGGTATGATTTTCAAGCCACCCAGGACTCAGGACTTGAACCATCGTCGGCCATATGGAAGTTGAACACCTTAACCACTATACCACCTACTAGCCCCCCAGACAAAATTTTTTGAACACTACATGTGGAAGTTCTCTGCATTATGATAGAGCAGAGAGAGATGAGCTGAGAGAGAGAGAGAGATTTCCTCATGCTCACTTGCTGCTAGGGTGCAAACATTGGCCTAGGTTCCACTGGTCTGGTCAGAGATGTCTGGCAGGCCTGTGATTTGAAAGGGACCATAGAGATAGCAGGCAGGACTCAGAGAATCCTTTTTTTTTCTTTTAAAATTTGCCAGAAGGTGCCTCTACTCACCAGAAAGAGACAGAGAAAGAGCAAGAGAGAGAAAGTACTCCCAACCCCCATGGAGGATGTTCATGCTGTAGTCCCTTCTCCACTTCTACCTTTTTTGGGCATTTTGGGCACATAAGCACATATGCCTGGCACGTTTTTCAATTCATGGGTTCTGGGACTTGAACCAAGCATTCACACACATGGAATTCAGCCACCTTAACCACTATGCCCCTGGAGCATCCTTTCTACTGGTGCAGGGGCCAGCCATCTGCACAGAATTGTTCGGGCCATAGGACCTCCCTTATCCTGGTCTGTTCTGGGTTTGGCTCTGGGCGAGGTTTTTGGAGCACAACTTAGATAAGCATGTTTCTCCATCTCTCCTTATGATTCTGTGAGCATCCCGACACCCCTTACTGAATTTCTTCCTGCTTAGATGGGCCATGGTCTGCTACTGAGGGCTGGAGCTAGGCAGGGAACAGGAACTCTATCTTTGAGGACTAGACTTGCTCAAGAGTCACCATTCTGAGTATGGACTTCCATAATGGAGAAATGCCATTAGCTAATGCTTATTGAACAGGTGTCATGGACTACCCTGTGCTAATTACGGAACAGAGACTATTTCGTGTACTCTTCAAACAACTGAGTAACTAGGTACTCTTACTGTCCTCAATTTACTACAGAGAAGACTGAGGTTTTGATGGGTAGGTGGCTGGCCCATAGTCACATGAAGACATGTGGTAACATCAGGACTTGAACCCTTGCTGACTCCAGTGCCTGTCCTCTGACATAGCATGCCACATTGCAGGAAGGACAGAAGACTCAGCTGTACATAGATTAAACAGTTCATTAAGCCAGATGTATTTCTGATAATAGCTTACTTCTTTGTAATTTATCAGTTTCTTCTCTCCTTCTTTCCTTTTTTAAACTTTGCCAGAGGACATATGTGTTTGGCAGAGAGAGAAGAGAGAAAAAGCGCCCCAAATGAGAAATGGCCACGCCGCAATCCCTTCTCCTCTCTCTCTCCTTTCAGGATCCTGGGCGGACACGCACACACACACACACACACACACACACACACACACGTGTGTGGCATGTTCCCCATCTGCCAGGTCCAAGTCTCAAACTGCGGGTCAGCCTTAGGGGATCCAGCTACCTTAACCACTAGGCTACAGAGCTGGCCCTGTTCGTTTCTCCTAAACATTTCATAAGTTATTTAAAAGAGCTATTTCAAGTTAGCAAAAAGATAACATTTCTGCAGTCATCGGAGTAAGATGAAATCATAATTTTTATTTCTAGCACCTGCGTACCCAGCTCCATAGTTGTGTGACCTTAGACATGTCATTTAAGTTTGGTGAACCTTGGCTTCCTCATAGAACAGAAACCTATCTTATCTATTTTACAGGTAAAAGGAATACTAAAACAGGTTTGCCCCAAGGATTAACATTAAAATGTAATAAAGCCTTACAAAAATCTTTATGAAAAAGAGAAATGACATTGTCACTAATAGTTTACAGAGTGCTTTTTGCACATCTTAATTTATTTAAACCCCATCAACACTCTGAGCTAGATAAGAGATCCCTTCTTTTAGATGAAGAAATTGAAATGACTTACCCAAGGGCCCGCAATCTGTCAAAAGTAACTAGCTATTTATCTGGCTACTCTACCATGATTCTTTACTTAACTCTTTCATGAAAAGAAAAATCCTAATTATTAAAAAAAAAAAAAATCCTGGGATTATGGCATAGCTGATGTCACGTGCTTATTCTCACCTTTTTGACTTCGTACTTAATGGCGAGCTTGACTCGACTCAACGAGGCTTTGTGCCTGTGCACCTCCAGAGGATCCATGGCCTCCAGGTCTCCGTTCAGAATGGCTTCCACCTCCTCCGAGTCTCGGCAGAGGTCCAGCACCCCCACTACAAAGTCCTTGCATTGCATGGAGAGCTTCCGATAGTCGTTCTAAAACAAAAGTTTTTGTGGTTAATGTGAAGAATTTGCTCCAATTCAACCGGAAGTGTTTAGGGTTTCTGTGAATTAGAAAAAGGAATCCCTTCATCTGAGTAGGAAGCTGTGGCCTCTACCTACATGCAAGGCTTGTTAGAAACAGGCTAGGGACCAGCAGATGGCGTCAGGATTACATCGCGGGACTCCCACTGGCCAATAGGGTTTGAGTCTGGGACCACAGCTTAAAACTCTCACAGGTGTGCGCAGCGCGGTTCTCCCCTATAAGGGGTGATTTCTGGCCTTCTGTTTCTGTCTCTCCCCGAAGCGCACGTGCCCTATAGCAAAAGTCTCTGTTAAAAAAAAAAAAGATAGATAGAAAAGAAACAGACTGGTCCATTCTCTCAGCCAGGTTTCCTTCTATAACCTGCCTAGTCTTAAGAAACAACTCTGAGCCAGCAGGTGGTGTGACGCTTAAGGCACTGGATCCCACGTGAGCCACGTCTGGACCTGGTGGTTTCAAAAACACATTGGATGTATTTGCACATACCCAAAACCCCACGAGGGGGCGAAGAGAGGAGAAGGGATTGAGGTATGGTCAGCTCTCCTGGGGAGTGATTTCTCACTTTCCCTTCCGCTCTGTTTTTCTACAGCGAGCACGCAAGCCCTATAGTGGAACAAGAAAGAGAGAAAGAGAGAGAGAGAAGGAAGGAAAGAAGGAAGGAAAGAAAGGAAGGAAGAAAAAAAGAGAGGGAGAAAGAGAGAGAGAGACACCACCTTGATGGTCCCATGGGCTGGGGGCTGAGGGTGAGAGAAAATGAAGAGATATTGGTCAAAGGGTACAAAGGTTTGGTTAAATGGGAGGAATACCTTTTGGAGGTCTGTTGATAGTGTGATGTCTGTAATTATAACAATGTATTGCCTGCTTCAGAATTGCTCAGAGAGTACTTTTTTTTTTTTTTTGAAAGGTTTTTGCTAGGGGGCACATGCTCTCGCCAGAGAGACAGATAGATAGAAAGTAAGAAATCACCCCCCAGGGGGGATGGCCACGTTGCAGTCCCTTCTCCTCCATTCTCCTCTCAGGATCTTGGGCACGCTCGCACATGCCCAGCGTGAGTTTAAGACATCAGGTCCGGGACTCAAACCGTGGTCAGCTACATGGGAGTCCAGCGACATAGCCATTACACCAACTGCTGGTCCCAGAATTGCTCAGAGAGTACATTTTAAATGTCTGGCTACAAAAAATGCAAAATAAGTGAGATAATGGATATGTTAATTAACTTGACTGAATCATTCCACACTGTACACATCTATCAAATCATCACATGGTATCCTATAAATACATATAATTATTATGTGTCAATTAAATAAAAAAAACCATATATTTACTCCAACAACATGGTATGCCCATAAGTTGCTAGTTTGTATTAGTGATATTGGCTAAACGCAAATGTCAAAAGACCACAGGATCAAAAAGCATTTTATCTTTTTTGTACAAACAACAGTTTTTTTCAAACCAATATAAGACCATTCCTGTAATGGAAGTTTTTCTAAAAGGGCAATTTTTCTAAAATGGAAATTTGACAGTAAGAGTTGATTCTATATGAAAATAACATGTCCAATTTACCTTGTTGGAGACCTCACTTCTCAAGGTGTCAGTGGCAGACCAATAGTATCTGGGAATTTCCTTTTTTATTAAAGAATTTTTAAAAATGTAACTTTATTTATTTATTTTAATTTGACCAGAGATGAATAGTGATAGAGAGAGGGAAAGTGAGAAAGCAAACCACCAGATTTGGGACTTGAATCACAGTTGGCCATGTGGGAATCCAGCACCCTCAACCACCATACCACCTGCCAGCCCCACACCTGGGCATTTTCAGCTTATAAATGCAGACGCTCAGATCCTGCCCCAGATGTCCTGACTTAGAACTGAGGAAGGACCAGCAAGCTGTGTTTTAGCATGCTCTCCAGGTTAAACATGTTACCGTTTGAGAAGACCATTTACAGTGAATGTGAAGAGGCAAACAGAGCCCCACCCTGATAGAGAGGGGTCTTTCCTTGTTTGTCTGAAAGGGATATTATCATGCCCTGCAGAACTGGAAGGAGAGAAATGTCCGATTATATGTCATTGAATTCTCAAGGGTTACAGAATATCAATACCTGAGAGAAAAATTTCCAGGACACTGGAACTAACACCTTGCTAAAAATAATCTGTGAATCTTTCATTTCATTTGCATATTTATATAACGCCACGGGCGGGTATAAAGAAGTCAGTTGGTAGCGTTCCCTATTACCTTCTGAATGAAGCTCTATTTCTGGCTCATTGGTTCCAGTTGAGAGGCCAATGACCATCTCTTGGGAAAGTGTCTCACATTTGGAAACTCCAGTTCCACTTTTATGACTTTCATTAAAATTCTAGCCCACTAGGAAAGTTAACTAGGTAATCATTTAATTTGGTACGCTTGAGGAATGTAGAAGTCCTGATTTCAATGTGTTCTGAGACACTGCTTATGTCCACATAACTAAGTATTACACAAATATGCCAAGTATCACTCACGTGGAAGAACTTCTGGCCTTCCAAAAGTCACACTGTAAAAAAAGACATGAAGGGGCCAGCAGATGTAGTGGTTACATCTCTGGACTCCCACATGAGTGACCACAGTTCAAGTCCCAGACCCAGTGGCTTGAAAATCATGCCAAGTATGTGTACACATGTGCCTAAGATCCCAAGAGGAGAATGGAGGAGAAGCAACTGTGGCATGACCATCTTCCTAGGGGTGATTTTTCACCTTTTCTCTCACTGTCTCTGTCTCCCTCTGCTGAGCACACATACGTTATGGCCAAAAGCTCTATAAAAAAAAAAGACATGAAGAATTCCAATTTTCTGCTTTAAATAATTAATTTGATTTGATGGTCACCAACTAAAATAAACAAGAAGAGAAGAGACTAAAGGCCACACCGATTGGAATAGTTTCCATTTCAGATAGCAGGAATTCAGATAAAGATCAGTTACAGTTAATCCTTTTCCCCTCTTAAGGGAACGGATAACATGAATAAAACTTCAGCCTTTGGTTTCCATTCAAGCTGGTAGCATGCAACTGATAAAATTAATACAACGTTCAGCCTCTGGTTTCTATGCAGACTGTCAGCTAAATATCCATCTGCCTCCATTCCTGAAAGACTAATGAAATATTAGTCTTTATTATAGCATCTAGAATACGTATTACATCCATGCCTGCTTCCATATAAAGCTCCTTCTGCCTTTTATTTTTCAGAGGTTTTAGCCTTAGGGCATGTACACTTGCCAGAGAGAGACAGAGAGAAACAGAGAGAGGGACGGTGAGACATCATCCCCTGCGGGATGGCCACGCCACAATCCTTCTCCTCCATTCTCGTCCTAGGGTCTTGGGCACACACGTACATGCACCTAGTGTGAGTTTCAAGTCACTGGGTCCAGGGCTTGAAATGTGATCGACCTCATGGGAGTCCAGCGATGTAACTGCTATGCCATCTGCTGGTCCCAAAGCCCCCCTTTTAATACAGGTCGTTTTTTTTTTTTTAAAGAATTATTTATTTTTAATTCTATTCTTTCATTTATTTATTTTAATTTGACCAGAGAGAGACACACAGAGAGAAGGGGGGAGAAACAGCAAGAAAGCAAGCCACCAGGTCTAGGACTCGAACCGTGGTCGACCATGTGGGAGTATCCAGCACCTTAACCACCATGCCACTTGCTGGTCCCAAAACAGGTTTTTTTAAGATAAAATTTCCTCATGTTATTTTGCAGTTCAGACTGTTCTGTAAGATTTGGTACAACATGGGATGACCATTTCTCTATTGAACATATATAAAAGAAGCTACTTGCTAGGTTTTGAAGAAAATGTAGTACCTGTTTGTGTGATGATACCTAAACAATGATTCACCGTTGAGAACTAGCATCTGTAAAACATTCAGTTTTAAAGAAAGGTGTGTATCTTTTCACTTCTACTGAAAGATCAGTTGAGAGACACAAAATTGGTAGCCATGCCAGTAGCAAAGACAATGCTTTGTTTTTATAATAATTTAAGCAAATCTCCTAGGAAGAAGTCCGTTGTCCACATGCAGAAAACAATCAGAGCTGGAGATAATGGTGACTTCTTTTATTGCAGTCATGGGACCCTATGTTTTAAATACATGCAGAACTTTCAGGAAAAGATGGAGAACTCCAGCTAAACACAGCCTGTCCTCCATTGTAGAAGCAACTGTGTCTGAGGTCTGCATTGACTGACAGTCCATTGTGAGATCCTGGTCCTACTAATGTGCAGCTCAGAGCACTTGTTGGGTCTGCATTTTCTAATAATTTTCTCTCGATTTAGTTTCACTTAATGATCTTCACTGCACCTCGTCCATGCCCATGGCCCTCCACAGAGACAACAGGTGAGCCTGCCTGCTACACTTTACAGAGCAGGAACGCAAGGCCCTGGGGACATGCTCCAGCCAGAGGAGGAACGGTAAAGTTCAGTTCCTGTCATGGCCTGTTTATAGGATCTGCATGCTCCTTTTTTCCTTCATTTAATCAACTAATTAATTATTATTATTTAATTTGACCAGGGAGAGACAGAGAGAGAGAGAAAGCAGGCTGCCAGGTCCAGGACTTGAACCACGACCATGTGAGAGTCCAGCGCCTTAACCACCATGCCGCCTGCTAGCCCCTCTACATAGTCCTTTTTTAGTGTATGGTTTGATCACCATTTTAATGTATTTTTATCCTTAAGAGGAAAATTGAAGTTCCACTTCAAGAGTATTTGGTTCTGTCAGTTTTTTCTCTAATAACAAAAGAGGTAAGATAGCTTAGTGGTTAAGAACCTGAACCCAGACCTCCCAAACTTAAATAATGCTTCTACCACTTACTAGTTGTGTGATTAAAAAAAAAAAAAAGTTTTGATATAGGGCATGTGTGCTCACTGGAACGGCACAAAGACAGAGGGAAAGTAAAAAATTATCCCCTTGTGGGGATGGCCCCGCCACAACCCCTTCTTTAGGGATTATTATTATTATTATTTTGGAGAGGTTTTTGCTATAGGGTGCGTGTGCTCGCCAGACAAAGAGAGACAGAGAGACAGAAAGGGAGAAATCCCCCCCCAGGGGAGATGGCCACGCCACAATCCCTTCTCTTCCTTTCTCCTCTCGGGATCTTGGGCACGCACGCACACATGACCGCCGGGTCCAGGACTCGAACCGTGGTCGACTATGTGGGAGTCCAGCGACATAGCCATTACGCTAACTGCTGGTCCCATCTTTAGGGATTTTGGACACACACACACAGCATGTTTTCCAAGTTACCAGGTCCAGGATTTGAGCTGTGGAGTTGGCCATGTGGGATCTAGCACCTTAGCAACCACACCACCTACTGGTTTCTGCTGTGTGATCTTGGAGAATTTCCTTAATCTCTCTATAAGAACAACCCTACCTGCTATTCGTATAGCACTGTGAGGGTAAATGCTTCGAGTGCTTGGTACACATTGAGTACTGTGTACCAAGTAGTGTTTTGCCATCATCAGGTACATCACGGTAGGGGAAGGACCAAGGACGGAGGACTGAGATCAAGTCATTGACATCGAGGCTTAGCAGATGGGTCCTTGGCAAGAGCCTTTGTTTTCTCATCTGTAGAATAAGAGATCTGAGGGCCAGCTGGTGGCATGGTAGTCGAGATGGCTGGATCCCACATGGCCAACTGTGCAGTTTGAGTCTGGGTCTGGCAGTGTGAGAAACACACCAGGCACATGAATGCCCAACACCGCAACAGGAGGGAACGTTGAAACAGAAGGGGTAGTGGTGTGGCCGCTCCCCTCGGAGGGTGCTTCTGCCTTTCCCCTCTCTTTCTCTCTCCCTCTTTGTCTCTCTCTGAAAAGGATATGTGCCCTCTGGAAATTTTTTTACAAAAAGAAAGAAAGAGGGAGAGAGAATGCTCCAATTCACCAGGTGATCCCTAGAGGATTTTCCTGCTGTAAAACACTACCTTGCGTTTGGCTTATCTTAATTTTCTTCATTACAGCACTTCTGTGACATAAATTGAAACTGCTTTTCTGTAAGATTGGGTACAGCACCAGAGAGGAAAAACTGAGGCACAGGGAAGGCAAATAGCTGATTTTTGTTTTTGTTTGCTTGTTTGTTTTTTAACAAAAAATGTGCATCCTTGAGTCAGAATTAGGAAACTTCACGTTGCATTCTCACAGCTTAATAAATGACTGGCTTTCTTGGCACTGGCATTTGGAGGATTAGCCCTGGAGTCCATCCTGTCCAATATTCTGTTTCTCAGAATAGTTTCAGACAGTATTTGCACATCCCAAATATTTTTTTAATAACCTGTCACCCAGCTGCCCTTCGTTAATTCATCTCAATGTCTCCTTGATGGCTCGGCCTCGGGAGGCAATGCCTTCTGGCGTTTTCAGCGCCATGCCCACCGTATTCCTCAAGGAACTATTGGGTCATGCCCACCGTATTCCTCAAGGAACTATTGGGTCATGTCCACCGTATTCCTCAAGGAACTCTTGGGTCATTGGGAAAGCCATGTTTGCACATCCCAAATATTTTTTTAATAACCTGTCACCCAGCTGCCCTTCGTTAATTCATCTCAATGTCTCCTTGATGGCTCGGCCTCGGGAGGCAATGCCTTCTGGCGTTTTCAGCGCCATGCCCACCGTATTCCTCAAGGAACTATTGGGTCATGCCCACCGTATTCCTCAAGGAACTATTGGGTCATGTCCACCGTATTCCTCAAGGAACTATTGGGTCATTGGGAAAGCCATGATGCATTTTTGCATAGAAAAACAGACAATACATCATGACTTTGCGGATGACCTAATATAACAATTGCCGGTAGCTGAGACTCTTCTCTAAAGCACCTGTTGTAAATGATGGCCATTTGAGGGCCAAGAACTAGATAGAACAGCCCATTGATAAGGTGACTAGATATAGGTGTCTGAAACTTTTTAAAAAATCACCTCTTTTTCACTAGGGAGCACAGTATCTATTTTTTCATTTCAAGGCTAGTACTTGGAGCTCAAAGTCCCTACGGAAAGAATGCAGTGAAATCATGGGACAGGGCGAATGAGGTTACCTGCTAGTCTTAGCAATGAGGTCCACTTCCCCGCCCTTCCAGAGCCCAGGGTCTCCGGTGAGTGCTAGGAAAAGCACTATTTTCTCTGTCTGTCTGAAGCCCTGACAGGTGGACGTGAGCATGGGATAAGAGGGCACGGAGGTGAAAGGAGGGCAAACAGAAAAGGAATAACAAGGACAGGTAAGAATGGGAAAGAAAAGGGACATTCCGTTAAGGGAGAGAGACGCATGGTCCTTAGAGACTGGAACGTCGTCGGAAGAACTGTCCTAATTTTGGCTCAGAGACAGTTGTGCTGCATGAGTGATTTCCATATAATCCAGAAAAAGGAGCTGAGATCGCGAGGTGATTTTGCATAGCCTCAGATATAGGGTGCTTTACAAATGTCCTCTACAACCTTCTCGGGTTTTCTCCTCTTGTTGCCACTTGTGATATTTTCTCACCTTTGAAAGGTTATCAGAGGTGACTCTAATATATCACTGTAAAGGAGAATGCAATTATTGTCAATATGGATTTAGCCAGTGACACAGACAGCTATGAATAACTAATTCTCTTACCACTGCCTCACTGAGATGATTTTTCTGGGTAGAATTGCAAACATTGCCATCTTTAGTAAATAGGAAAACAGTTCCTGAGTCAAGGAAAGAGTTCCTTTTGTAGAATCTTTTTGCAGACTTTCAATATATATCAAGCAAATGCATAAAGACAAGGTCTGTGAGAGTCAAAACAGTGGCAAGTGAACAGGTTAGAACTATGCTTTACGATGGTCCCCAAACAAAGAAATCATGTTTAGAAGTCTTCTACCTGGATGCTTTTCTACTCTCTGACCAGAATTTGAAGGTTTCAATAGTTCTCCTTGAGTTCTGTGTTTAAAAATATTTTATTGTGGATTCAAGGAAATAAATCTTTTCAAACACTACATAATGAATCTCTTCAAAGACAGTAAATATAAGCTTTTTTTTTTTACAATAAATATGTGTAGTTTTTATGTCAGAAAAAGTATTTTAATGGGTTAACAAATAAAATCATACAAAGGACACATCTCCACTAGGACAAGATGAGAGTTGATGATTATCTAGGTAATTTGGTATGTATGGAAGGTAAATAGGACCAATTTCCCACCATTTTCTAATAACCCCAGGGGAAAGTAGATTTCCCTTACCCCGAAGTATATTGCTAATTGAACTTCTATAAATTTCACATGAGTATGAAAAATCATATTAAGATGTGAAAGACAGAATAACCCTGTGATCTGACACCACAACACTAAACTAGAAAGATGAACTCAACATCCAGAAATAATTCAAAGAACTGATGTCCGCAATTGTCTTCTTAAATGAAAAACAGGAGACCAGGAACTACTGAATAGGTTCCCACTGATTTTTACCAGAACCAGCAAATACACTTTGGCTCCTGATTTAATAGCTAGAATTATTCAGAATGCACAAGAGGATGGAGCAACTGAGCAAAAAGTAAAATTGGTCTACCATTAATATATAGTTGTTCTAAAAATAAATAATACTGCTTAACTGGAGATGTCTAGAAAAAAATGTTCACTCAATGAAAAAAAAAATCCATTAAACCAAGCTACTTTGGCGTCTGTATTTCTGGCTCGACCTGACTTCTAGGGGTCACAACCCTGAATATACATTAGTGGAATTCAGGGAGAGGCAATTTAGTTATATTAATAAAATGACTTTAACAGCGTTTTATGTTGGCCTTTTCATTTTCCATTGCAAAGGAGTATACATATGGTGGGGGCAACAGGCACGCGTTCAAATACTACTGCCCACGGATGGAACCGCAGCGCGCTCGGCCACTCCCAAGGACTTGGTATTGGGATACTCCTAGGAACGGTGTGCAAGGCCTGAGGGGATTAAAAAGCAAACAGAAAAGCTAATACTATTTCCTTGTTGGGTGTCACCCTACACCAACACCCCCTAACTACTAAGGTGAGGAAGAATTGGAAAGGGAGGTCACACCAAATTCCTCCTTTGAACAAAAGAAGGCTAAGTCTCTAGTTTTATTTCAACCTTATCCAGAACACAGAGCACCATAATTACAACCGCTCTCTGACCCAGAAGCGAATTTATTGCAGCACCATTATTGAGAGACGGGGGAAAATAATAGATGGGCTCTGAAAGGAGCTCCCAGTGGGTGAGGACTTTAAACCTCCTGGGCACACTGCGGAAGAAGCCATCCCCGCAGCCAGCTGGGGCAGGGGGAGCGCGCGGAGCAGACAGGGGGCGCCTAGCTTACCTTGAACTCCTTCTCGATGTTGGCCAGCTTGGCTAGCTCGTTGCTGAGCTCCAGGGCCGTGAGCACCGGGTCCTCGCTGGACAAGGACAGGTACGCCGGGCTCGCCAGCCCCTTGTAGGCGTTGATCCTGGAGCGCGAGTGACTGAAGGAGTCGTGGCGCTGCTTCTCCGTGCAGTCCGCGCACTTGCAGAAGTAGTCGTGCGGCCGCTCGATGCGGGCGCCCTTCAGCAGCAGCATGTGCACCACCTCGTACTTCTGGCAGTGCGCCGCCAGGATGATGGGCGTGATGTCCGGCGAGAAGCGCGTGCCGTCCTCGTCGTAGGCGTAGAAGTCGTCGTCCTGCAGCTCCTGCTCGCAGGGGCTCAGCGTCAGGCGCTTGCTGGCCGCGAAGCCGGGGTGGTTGAGGATGGCTTCCACGATGCGCACGTAGCCTTTGCTGATGGCGAGCAGCAGGGCGTCGCCAATGCGCGCCAGGTTCTCCTTCTTGAGCAGCAGCTCCGTCACCTCCAGGTGCTCGTTGCCCACCGCCAGCTGCAGCGCGTTCTGGCCCATGTAGTCCACGCAGTTGACGTTCAGCGTCTTGGACTCCTCCAGCATCTTGCGCACCACGGGGACGTTGCCTTACTCGGCGGCGTCGAGGAAGCGCTCCTCCTCCGCCGTGAGGCTGGTGCCCCGGTCGTTGAACATGAAGGCCGGGCCCCGGACAGCCTGGCGCCGGCCCTTCTCGCGCATCACCGTCATGCGCCGCAGGGACGGGCTTCCCTCCATGGACCTAGGCGGCAGCAAGGACAACACTGTAGACGGTTAGGGCCTCTCTCGACTGCGCCACACCCTTGCAGACCTGGACCCTGGCGGTCTGGCAGGTGCCAAGGACTCGCCTGAAATCTACACGTGTTTCCAAAAGAGCCCGCAGCCCCAGAGAACAAGAGCTGCTGTTCTCGGAACTGCTTTCAGATGGGGTAGAAGCAACACTAAAGCCATGTCCAGGCTCCCACGCCTCCCTGTGGCCCTGGTAAAGATGGAACTCATCGCGTCTTATGACAATATCCTTATTTTTGTTCTCCAAAGTCTTGGGACTAGGGACCAGCAGGTGGCATAGTGGTTAAGGCACTGGACTCCCCACATGGCTCACCGGGGTTTGAGTCCTGGACCTGGCAGCTTTCTTTTGCCCTTTCTCCCTATCACTCCTTGGTCAAATAATAATAATAATAA